TTTTTCTAACTCTCTTGATTTCATATGAAATTTAGAATCAGCTTGTTAATTTCAGCAAAGAAGCAAGCTTAGCATTTTGATAGGTATTGTGTGGAACCTGAATCAATTTGTGGAGTATTACCATCTTAACAATATGAAATTTTTCCATCCGTGAACATGAGCTATCTTTTGATTTAGTTAAGCCCTCTTCAATTCCTTTCAAAAATGTTTTTCAGTATTCAATGTACAAGTCTTGTACATCTTTTGTTAAATGTATTTCTAAGGAGATTGTTCATCCTGATGCTAGTTAATGGGATTGTTTTGTTTTTTTAAAACATTAATTAAATTTATTTGGGTTATAGCAAACTAAAAAGCCTCTGCACAGCAAAGGGAACCATCAACCAACCAAAAAGTTAATGAGAGTAATGGGAGAAGATATTTGCAAACATCAGCTCCACCAAGGGGTTAATATCCACAATATATAAAGAAGTCCTAAAACTCAACACCAAACAAAGAAACAATCCAGTTAAAACATGGGCAGAGGACCTGAACACACACTTCTTCCAAGGAGACATGCAAATGACCAGCAGATAGATGAAAAGATGCTCAACTTCACTAGCTAAGGGGGAAATGCAAATCAAAACTGCAATGGGATTGTTTTCGTAATTTTATTTTCAGATTCTTTATTAGTAATGTCTAGAAATACAATTGACTTTTAAAAAAATTTATTGATTTATTTTTAGAGAGGGGAAGGGAGGGAGAAAGGGAGGGAGAGAAACATCAGTGTGTGGTTGCCTCTCATATGCCCCCTAACTGGGGACCTGGCCCACAATCCAGGCATGTGCCCTGACTGGGAATCAAACCAGTGACCCCCTGCTTTGCAGTCTGGTGCTTAATCCACTGAGGACACCAGCCAGGGCCTCTTGAGTGTTTTTTTTTTTTTAATCATGAAAGGGTATTTGATTTTTGTCAAATGCTTTTTCTGTGTCTATTGAGATACTCATACATTTTTTAAACCTGTATTTCATTAATATGGTTTATTACACTGACTGATTTTCACATATTGAGCCAACCTTGCATTCCTGGGATTAATCCCATCTGGTAAGGTGGATTTTTTTATATGTTACCAGATCTGGTTTGCAAGTATTTTATTGAAAATTTCTGCATTTGTGTTTTTTGGAAGAGTTTGTGAAAGATTGATGTTAATTATTCTTTAAATGTTTGATAGAATCCATTACTGATGCCATCTGTCATGTTTTTTCTCTCTGCCCAGGTGGGAATTTTTTGATTATTAATTCAATCTCTGTACTTGTCATAGGTCTATTCAGGTTTTCTTTCTGAGTCATTTTCTGTCTTACTAGGATTTTTTCCATTTCATCAGGTTATCTAATTTATTGGCATATACTTGTTCATAGTGTTCCCCTTAATCCCTTTTTATTTCTTAATAAATTATGGTTGGTAGTAATATTTCCTCTTTTATTCCTGATTTTAATACTTCGAGTTCTCCTTTTTATATTTGAACTTTTTACAAAGCCAGTGTAACCAGCTGTAATTTTAAAAACAAAGAAAAAATGGAAGATACAGAATAAAAAGGCCTGTCAGAATTGGGATGTGGGTGTGTTGCTAACTCTGTCAATCACTTCTCCTTTATTGGCCACGGTTTCTTATCAGGAAGTTGAGGTATTTGTTCATAATTGTTAAAGTTGTTGAAAGCCTCTGGGCTATTTCCATGTTTGAGCAATTGTAGTATTTGAGGACAGATAGTAGACACTTTTGGAAAGAGTCCAGTATTCCTGCAGGGCATAGCAGAAGATAAGAAAGGGAATGCAGATTGAAGCCAGATTACGGTAATGTTTGAATTCCAGGATAAGAGTTTTGGATTTAACAATGGGCAGCTGTGGAGAGTAGCCAGTCAAAGTGCTAGTCAAGGAAATTGGTGCGGGGGAGGTATTAGAGCTGGGAGTCACCCAAGGAAGTCACTTAGGGAATGGAGACCATGACTATAGGAATGGAAAAGAAAGAGACAGGACCAGAGACCTTCTCTGATTCGGGAAGTACTCCCTGAAACTGTGGGAGGAACGAGTGTAGTCAGTTCTGTTGCTCACTCTCATGATTCCCATAGTTAGTGATTAGACACAAAACAGGTCCAAAATAGGCAGTTGTTACATTGAATTCCATTAACCCAGCCTTGCTTAGAGCTCAATGATGACTCAAGAAAATAAGTACTCAGAGAGAGCTTCCAGGAAAGCCTTCCTACTTGCCAGGTTCTGGGCCTTGTCTCTCTTCTTTCTTGTCATCCAGGAGCCCATGTGTGCCAATTGCAATGTCAGTGTAAAACACTTGTGAGCAGGTGTACAGGTATACCTTCCCTTGTACCGTTTGCTGGTGGGGCTGATGTGGTACTCTGGGCTGATATTACACCCAGGGAAGATGAGCTGACCTGTGTCAGTGCACGTTGACATATAAGCAGACAAGGGCCTTCATCTGCACACAACAGGGAAACACTCAAGTGCACGGGGCTGAGAGTTTAGAGCAGAAAGTCCTGGGGTCTCAGGCCCAGGAGGTCTTTTGTGGGACCCTGGGCCTGGGGGCACAATAATTGGGTCTTACATAATAACCTTTTTCCAGGCTAGAAACATCTCCCCTCAAATGTTAGCTCCACAGTGGGTAGAGATTTTTGTCTGTTGTGTTGCTGCTGTGTCTCCAGTATTTGGTACATACTAAGCATCTCACATAGCTCTAACGAATGAATAAATCTACCAGTTGTTCTTCTGGATTTAGGTAGCATATTAATTCAAGTAGTGGGTTTATGGGCTTGTTGTAGTATAATAGATAAAGGTGTTGTCTTCTCAGAAGCTCCTTGTGAAGGGTACTTCCATCCATGCCTTCAGTTCTCACCAGAAGGGATTCCTCCCACACATTCTGTGTAAGGTACCTGTATCCATCCACCTAGTCGTAGTTAGTTGTCTTCCTGCCCTTTCATTGTTACTTGAAATATGATTTGAATCTAAATTTGGTTCTGTTGTGACCTGACTTTCCACCCTACCCGTCTACATCAGTATTCTACACTCCTTCCCACTGGAACTGTTTCAAAGAGTCATCTCATTTCAGCCATCTGAAAGCCAACATTTTATTTTGACTTGACTGTCTTAAACTCCTGAGAAGAAAAGAAATACTTCTTATCATGCAAAGGCCTACCTATTACACCCTTTTCATAGCAGGGATTACCTTGCTTTATGAGAAGCTGGGTAAAGCTAACAGATTATTAGAGGATGGGGTTTTTATTGTTGCAAAGAGACAGCATCAGGTACATGACGTGTTTGCTTCAGTGCCTTAAAATTACCTTTTTGAACAGATCCATTCCTTGATTAATCATTCCTCACCATTGCTTATTGATTGTATGAAAGGGCAGCTATTAGCATATTGAAGACGCAAAGCTGACCTTTGCAAGCTGGAAAGAAATTTACAATAGATCATTTGCATAGGATGATAGCTTCTGGGTAGAGATACATTTATGCATATTTGGCTGTGTATGTAAAATGCATTTAAGTGGATTGAGCTCTACTTGCTTAGGCCTGTGGCAGGTAAGTAGACTATATGCTTGTGTCATCTCTAGGTTCACTGGGTGATAGCCATGCTCCCCAACTTCTGTGAGGCCAAGGGAGAGGAGAATTCACTGAGTTGAGAAGTAACTACTGTCCCCGTAGCTTTGTCCCAAAGCCTCTGTCTCCTAAGACCACCCACCAACCTGCTTTTCTGGCGGCAGAAACAGGGATATATCAAAATTGCTTGATCTTATCTTCTTGAAGCAGGAATGTGGAAAAAACATGGCAGGTGTGGGTGGGAAAGATGGATTGTAGAATAATGCTGTAGAGACAACCGGCACGCTCTTTAGCTAATTCCCCTGGCAGATTTTACCACTCTTTTTGAGGTACCACTCTTCCTTTTCTCCATGTCCCCCTGGTTTTCCTTCTCCCAGGACTGGGATGAAATGAGCCATAGCTCTGAGTTAAGTCATTCCAGATCAAGAGACATCTTACCCTCCCCTCCCCAGCATGGGTGTTTTTCTGCATCCCTTTGCCTTTAAGATTTGGAGTGGATAGTTTCAACCTCTACCAATTGTACCCCATTTTGATGAGTCTAATGTTTCTCAGATAACCTTGTCCCAATCCCTTCTCTATTTCTTTCCTGTCTCTCTTAGGGCCAGAGGCAAAAGGTGCTGGCATAGTAGTTAAGACCATAGGCCACAGTCACACTGCCTGGCTTCTATCCCAGCTCCTCTGCTTCTTACCTTTGTGACTCAGGAAGAATTCCTGAACTTTTCTGAGGCTCAGTCTCCTTCTGTGAAATGGTAGTAATAATCATACCTAGCTCACAGAAGCGAATAATACAGCTCATTGAAAATTCTTAGCATAGCGGCTGCTATATAGTAAGTGCTCAATAAACAGCTATTGCTATTATGTGGTACATGGACATTCTGACATCTCCACTCCAACTTGGAGGAAGTACAGATCTTTGCATATCTGAGGAATTTTACAGTCAAATTTTAATGATTATTTGTGCATCCTTTGACAGAAATCAACACCGAAGGCCCTGTCTTTCATATGCCCAGCCTAATATCTGACTTTGATCTCCATGCTCATGGATGTTATGTTTAACAATAATCCAGTCATAACATGTAATATGTATAGCTTAATCCTTATTTTTGTTTGATACAGCTATGCTCCCTAGATATGCCCCAGCATGAATGAGTTCTGCTTGTTGTAACTCTTCTCTCCTCTAAAATTATCTTAGCTAAGAAGCCTCTGAATATAATTTAGTCATACCCTTCCCTATCCTTCCACTTTACAGCTTGGTTACCAGAAGTCTGGAGAGAACTGGACTCATTCCTAGAGACAGCAAGCCACCCTGGAGCCAGGCCTGATATTCAGTGTACAGGGGCCTCTGGTTGAAGGCTATCTGAATACTTGGCCGGGAACTTCTCAAAGAAGGAAACTAATCCATTCTTCCTTCTTCCACAGCTCTGGGTGAACCAGGAGGATGGGGTAGAGGAAGGGCCCAGTGATGTGCAGAATGGGCACCTGGACCCCAACTCAGACTGCCTCTGTCTGGGCCGGCCACTGCAGAACCGGGACCAGATGCGGGCCAATGTCATCAATGAAATCATGAGCACTGAGCGCCATTACATCAAGCACCTCAAGGACATTTGTGAGGTAGGCCCAGCTATGATAGTGCGTGTGGGGGGTACTTAGGGTGGAGTAGAGTGCATTTCCATGAAGTACCAACCACTCCCTGGGACCCTACCTGTGACAGTCCCATGTTGTTGGAAAGACCATCTTGATGGGCTTCCTGGATTCTGTTTGTAAGAAACTGCTCCCTTGGGGCTTCCCAGTGTTTCTCTGTATATCTGTTTCCCTCTCATTTATCTATCTATCTGTTTGTGAGTCTAACTGTCATTTTTGTATTCTCTTTCTCTCTCCCTCCCTTCCCTTCCCTCTCCCCCACTTTCTTTCCTCTCTCCCCTGAATCTCTACCCCTATCCTCTTGGCTTTTGATCTGCTCATCGCCAGCCCATGCAAGGGTCTGATCTCATTCTTTAAAGCAAAACACATCCCCCTCCAAGCCAGTGATTCACGCACCTGAATGTGCACCAGAGTCTTTAGGGGAGCTTCTTAAACATGCAGATCCCAGCCCCCTTCCAGTGCACCCCCACCTCAAAGTTGTGAATTCTCAGTCTGGGCATCTCTACATTTAACATGCATCCCTGGTGATAACATGCTGCTGGGCTACCTCCCACACTTGGAGAACACTTGTGTTGGTTTGAGCTGAAAAAAGCTTAGGGGAAGGAATCTATAAGAATTGAAGACTGGGTGCACAAGTCTCAGCTCCTTCAATATGCCTCTCCACCCTCACCAGGAGCTGTGATTCCACATCCCCTAACTTCTTCCCCTCCTGTTTCCATGACCTAAGTGTGGATGAGAGCCCTTGTTCTCACTTCGTTGAGCTAAGCAGAAACAAGTTAGAGTTTGCGAAGGATCTTTTACTTAAACAGTATGGGAAAGCCAATGGGAAATAAAGGACCCCTCTCTCTCTTCTCTCTACCTCTCCCTCTCCCTCTCCCTCTCTCTCTCTCTCTCTCTCTCTCTCTCTCACACACACACACACACACACACACACACACACACACACACACAGTATAGCATTCTGCTTGACCCAGGGGAAAACTCTACTATGAATATTTTTGTCTTCTTCCTTCCAAATGAGAAAGTCATGCCCCACTTTCTGTCCCCCAGCTCTGTGGAGTGGGGCCAGGGCCCAGTCTGTAGTTAGTAGTATAACGTTTTTCAGAGTTCTTATTTGCTGAGAGCACTGCTGCCCAATGGGGCTTCCCACAATGATGAAAGTGTTCTGTGGACAGATATCTTCACTCTGCAGTACAGTAGCTACTAGTCCATTATCTGTGGCTATTGAGCACTGAGGTATGGCTGCTATGACTGAGAAATAGAATTTTAAATTTTAATTCAAATAACCACGTGTGACTAATGGCAGCCACATTGGACACTGCACCTCTGGAAAGATCAAGGCCAAGGACTGTGGGGTTTAATTAGCTGTACTTCAACTCATTTTCTTATCTTCTTGGAAGGTCAGAGTTGTCTTCCCCTCTTCATGGGGCGGTAAGGTGGAGTGGAAGGAACAAGGGCTCTGGGGACATGGAGTGTTGGTTTCAAATGCTAATAACTTAGTCACTAATGAACTTTGTGGCCTTGAAGGTTCCTCTTAACTCCTCTGACCTTTGATTTTTTGATTCGTCCAGTGGGCTTCATTCCACCAACCTCTTAATTGATGAAATTAAGTAAACATATTGTAAATATTTGGGAAAAGGTAGTTTTTCTTTTATTCCCCTCCCCTTTTATTTATTCATCCATCTATTCATGTCTCTTATCTTTTTCTCTTCCTCCTACATTCACACAAATGACTGATGTATTTTTTATTTTATATTTTAAAGGCTTTATTTTATTTTTAGACAGAGTGGAAAGGAGGGAGAAAGAGAGGGAGAGAAATATTAATGTGTGGTTGCCTCTTGTGTGCCCCCTACTGGGGACCTGGCCCGCAACCCAGGCCTATGCTCTGACTGGGAATCGAACTGGTGACCCACTGGGGCTCAGACCAGTGCTCAATCCACTGAGCCACACCAGCTAGGGCTGATATAGCTTTTAAATTACCCCCTAGGTGTTTAGTTCTAGACCACCATTGGTTGGAATCACCTGGGAGCTTGTTAGAAATGCAGAATCTTTAGCTGCACTCCAGACCCACTGAGTCTGAATCTCCATTTTAGCAAGGTTCCCATTTGACTTGCAGTGTGTATTAAAATTCGAGTAGCACTGTTGTAAAATGATAGCCATTGGATAATGCCAAAGGTTTTTCATTACCTGAGAGATGCTGTCAAGACCCTAACCAGCTCATATCACTCATCTGCTCAAAACCCACCAATGGCCCCGGCTGATGTGGCTCAGTGGATTGAGTGCCAGCCTGTAAATCAAAGGGCCATATGTTTGATTCCCAGTCAGAGCACATGCCTGGGTTGCAGGCCAGGTCCCCAGTAGGGGGCATGTGAGAGGCAACCACACATTGATGTTTCTCTGCATCTCTACCTCCCTCCATCCCTCCCTCCCCCCGTGTCTTAAATAAATAAATAAAATATTTTAAAAAATCCTCTGATGGCTCACCATTTCTCCCTGAGTAAAAGCCGAAGTTTTTATCATTACTTACATAACCCTGTGTGATCAACCACTCCGTACCTCTGTGACTTCACCTCAGCTCCTTTTCTAAATGTTCCAACTATTCCAATCACACTGGTTTCTTGCTGTTTCTTCAAAATGCCTTTCATGCTTCCCCCACAGCTTTCAGCACTGGCATTTTCTTCTGCCTGGAGCACTCCTCCTCCAGATGTGTCCATGGCTCCATTCCTCACCTCCTTCAAGCCTTTACTTGAGACCTTTGCTGACCAAGATTACAGGGTACATGGTAGTTGCCCAATAAACATTGTCGAAAGTCACAATTAAATATAAGGGTTTTTGCTAAGTGCATTCACATTTTATGCCATTAGATTTTTTTTTTAGACAGGACAAAGGTTGTTATTGTTACTCTCATTTTCTAGATCTGAGGTGCAAAATTACTTTCCCAGAATTTTCAGGCACTGACCCAGTAGGAGTCCTTTAGTCTTAGAATGATCTTCTGTTCCAAACTCCCAATCATATTGGCTTCTTTCTACAGGCTGTGGGGTAGCGACAGCAATGGGAATATTTGTGTATGGAAGAGGGTTGGCTCAATCTAGCTAACCCATGCAAAGCTTTTGTTGGCATTCTGCTGGCATGGTATTTCTTAATTATTCTTGGTGCTAAAGTTAAGAGTTGAAGTGGGAAATATTTCTTTGTCCTACTCTGCATGCATAGGTGTCAAAGGAAGTTCTTAAGTTTTTAAAAGTAATTTAAGTTACAGTTTATATTCAACATTATTTTGTATTAGTTTCAGGTGTATAGCATAGTGGTTAGACAATCATGTACTTTACAAAGTGGTCCCCCTGATATTTCCAGTACCCACCTGGCAGTGTACATAGTTATTACAGTATTATTGACTATACTCCCCATGCTGTGCTTTACATCCCCAGGACTATTTTGTGACTGCCAATCTGTACTTCTCAATCCCTTCACCTCTTTCACTCATCTCCTCTACCCCCTCCCCGCTGGCAACCATCAGTCTGTTCTCTATGTCTAAAAGTCTATTTCTGTTTTGTTTGTTCATTTATATTGTTCATTGGATTCCACATGCGAGTGAGACCATATGGTATTTGTCTTCCTCTGACTGGCTTATTTCACTTACCATAATACCCTCTAGGTCCATCCATGCTGTCACAAAAGGAAGGTTTTGCTAGAGCAAAAGGAGGGTAGAGAAAGTTGTGTCTGTCTGAGCCAGAAGACAATATTTTAGCCCAGGGTGCATCACCTGTAAACCAAAAGCTGTAAGGAGAAATATGGTTTATCAGAAAGAATACCAGCCTCAGAATTGAGAGTCCTAAGTTCAAGTCCCAGCTTAGTCATTGACAGGCAGAGAAACCTCAGGTGACTCTTTTCTGTCCTGGGCCTTATTGCCCCACATGAAAATGAGGGGATTGGAAGAGTTGCTCTCTAAGTGCTGTCTGGGTTTTACTTTCTCTGATTCTTTGTGATCGAGATATGCCCTCACTAGAGAAAGCTCTGGTAGTGATCCAGGTTACTTGTGCATTTTCTGATGTTTCCTCCTTGGTACCCATGGAGGCATGTCTTACTCAGGCATGAATGCGTTAATGTGTATTCTTTCTGTAGGTTAAGGGAGATCTCAAACACTTCCCACTCCTGAGCTGTTGAAAGAGAAATGAGGGATATTGACTTCATATAGTAAAAACTCAGTACCTATTACAGATTGGACACATACACACACATACTCTTTCCTGGAAGCAGAGAGTGCTTTACAAACATTTAAGTTACAGTGCCCTTGCCCTGGCTGGTGTGGCTGAGTGGATTGAGTGCCAGCCTTGTGAACCAAAAGGTCACTGGTTTGATTCCCAGTCAGGGCATGTGGCTGGGTTGTGGGCCAGGTGCCCGATAGTGGGTGCATGAGAGGCGATGAAAGCAAGTGACCATAGTTAATTCTCACAAAAAAAGAAACAAAACATTTTCATGTGCTGATGATCTCTCATGGAAACAGTGGCCATTCATTAAAAATCTATATCAGTAAGTTAACAGTGAAAACTGTAGCTTTTTTTTTGGGGGGGGGAGCATGGCTTGTAATATGCCCTGAAGTTGGTTGTGTTATGTTAGTGTTCTCTTATTAAACTAAAAATCTCTTTCATTGATTCTTCCCTTTCATCAATGGCCAGCTGTATAAATTGCCTGTTCATTCATAAATGTGACCTGAACACTTACCCTGCTAAAAACACCATATCCGGACACTTGTGGGCTTGTTGGCTGAGCTCATCAAAATCATCTGTCCTAGCCAGCTACCTTAGATGGCTAAGACATTGCTTTAAGGAATGGTTTGGTTTTGTCAATATCTGTTCCTTTTGGGAAGTTTTCCTACCAGGGCCTCTGTTGCCAAACTGTTGTGAATGTAATAAAGACCTTTTGACTTGGTCCTATGAGAAAAACTTTAGACACATGAATAGATCCAGCTAAACCAGTAACTACTAAAATGAGTGACAATGTTTGTGCTTATCCAGCTTCTGAGAGAGGGCCGCAGGACTTTTTGGGGCTTTTGTCATAGAGAATGGTGAGTAAAGCTCTATACTCTGGAGTTTTTGTACCCTGAAAACATTTCTTGAGATTCAGTTTTTCTAATTACTCACTGATAGAGTGGCTTCCGTCTCTAAATCTCAATTTCCTTATATGAAAAATGCAAATGAGTATTCCCTGCCTACTTCATGGAAGTGATACAAGGGTCCAAGTGCCTAGCAAGCGGTGAAGCCTTCTAGGAATGAGGAACATCCTCAACCTGGGCCTTTTCTTTGTCTGCAGGGCTACCTGAAGCAGTGCCGAAAGAGAAGGGACATGTTCAGCGATGAGCAACTGAAGATCATCTTTGGGAACATTGAAGACATCTACAGGTTTCAAATGGGCTTTGTGAGAGACCTGGAGAAGCAGTACAACAATGACGACCCCCACCTCAGCGAGATAGGACCCTGCTTCCTGGAGCACGTAAGCATCTTCCCCTTCGGGGTCGGGGGCTGTTGAGAGAAGTTAAGAAACGATTGGAGGAGCATCTCAGCTGTCTACTCCTGCTCAACTCTCTGTTTCATAGTAGGACATAGATTCCTCTCTGACTCTGATGTTGACACCTTTGCCAGGGTAGGAGATGCTATGATTTAGACTAGGATTCTCTTTCTTTACATTGCCTTCGCTTTTCTCTCCCCTTCTGGAGGGTTACGAGTAGGATTTTTCTTCCGCTTCTCTCTTCTTTTCCTGTTGGGTTCAGTTACTAGGGGAGTTGTTTACTAGGTTGTTTACATCTATGGAATTACCAGGTTGCATGGTGTTTGTTTACCTTTATAAGATACTGATGAACTATTTTCCAAAGTTCCTATGCCATTGTGCATTCTCACTTCTAATATATAAAACTTCCAGTTGCTCTACTTGGTTGCCAGCACGTGGCATTATTAGTATTTTTTTATTGTAGCCATTCTGATAGGTATTTAGTGGTATTTCATTGTGGTTGTAATTTACATTCCCTTAATGGGTAATGGTGTTGAGCATTTTTTCATGCACTTATTTTCCATCTCTATAAAATCTTTGGTGAAGTGTTTGTTCATGTCTTTGGCCTATGTTTAAGAAGATTATTTGTTTTCTTACTCTTTAATTTTATGAGTTCTTTATTTATTCTGTTTATAAGTCTTTAGTTAGATATGGGATTTGCAAATGTTTTCTTCCAATCTGTATCATAGTCTTTCATTTACTTCAGAGTGTCTTTGAAAAGCAAGAACTTTTGATTTTGCTGAAATCCAATTTATAAGTATTTTCCTATAATGATTCATGTCTTGGGGGGGTCTTATTTAAGGCATCTTTGCCTAATCCAAAGTCACAAAGATTTATCTGATTTTCTTATAAGAGTTATGTATCTTTATTTCTTATATAGGTAATTTTTATAAATAGCATACCATAAAGGTGAAAGTTAGTTTGTTTTCATATGGATATTCAGTTGTTCCAGCATTATTTGTTGGAAAACTATTACTTCCCCCATTGAATTACCTGGGCACCTTTGTCAAAAATCAAGTGATCATCTATGCTTGGGTTTATTTTTAGGGACATTAGTCTGTTCCAGTGCTCTAAGTGACTATTCTTATACTAATACCACACTGTCTTTTCGTTGTTGTGATGGTGGTGGTGGTTGTGTCATTGAGATGTAATTGACATATAACAGTTTCAGGTGTGCAACACAATAATTTCATATTCATATATATTGTGAAGTGATCACCACAGTAAGTCTAGTTAATATCTGTCACCATAGTTTTTTTGTAAAACTTTTTTCTCACACTGTCTTGACTAATGTTGCTTCATAGTAAATCTTGAAAGTAGATAGCTACCTTTGATGGCTAAGACATTGCTTTAAGGAATGGTTTGGTTTTGTCGATATCTGTTCCCTTTTGGGAAGTTTTCCTGTCAGGGCCTCTGTTGCCAAACTGTTGTGAATGTAGTGAAGACCTTTTGACTTGGTCCTATGAGAAAAACTTTAGATGCATGAATAGAATTCATTCTTTTTAAAACAGTTTTGGCTATTTTAGATAATTTGTAAGTCACAATGAAAAGTTTTCTTTTTATTGTATCTCTATGAGATTATGGATCTTAACTAAGCCTGTTGTAATCATTTCACAGTGTATGTAAATCAAGCCATTATACTGTATACTTTAAACTTATCTAGTGACACAAGCCAGTTACTTCTTATAAAACTGGAAACAACAACAACAAAAAAGAATTAGTTTGTGAAGTTGTACCAAGAAGCAAAAACAAACAAATGAAAACCCTGTCAGTATTTTGCTCAGTATTGAACTACATCAGCAGATCAATTCTGGGAAAATTGACGTTTTCATTCCATGGACCTCTGTTTATTTCTGCATTTAGGTTTTCTATATTTTCTCTTAGCATCATTTCTAGTTTTTATTGTGTGGGTCTTGTCATTATGTTTTTTTTTTTTTTTAGATTTTTACTTATTTATTTTTAGAGAGGGGAAGGGAGAGAGAAAGAGAGGGAAAGAAACATGGATGTGTGGTTGCCTCTTGCACAGCCCCAAATGGGGACCTGGCCTGCACCCTAGGCATGTGCCCTGACTGGGAATCGGACCAGTGACCCTCTGGTTCACAGGACGGTGCTCAATCCACTGAGCCACACCAGCCAGGGCTATTTTTTATTTTTAAAAGATTTTCTTTATTTATTTTTAAAGAGAGGGGGAGGAAAGAAGAGGGAGAAAAACATCAATGTGTGGTTGCCTTTCTCATGCCCCCTACTGGGGACCTGGCCTACAAACCAGGCATATGCCCTGACTGGGAATTGAACTGGTGACCCTTTGGTTTTGAGGTGAGCACTCAGTCCACTGAGCTACGCCAGCCAGGGCTTGACCTTATTTTTAAAAACTGAGTTCTAAGTATTCAATTTTTATTGCTATTGTAAATGGCATTTTTATTTGAGTTTTCAATAGCGTGTTGTTATGATATGGAAATGCAATTGATTTTTGAATATGAACCTTGAATCCTGACACATTACTGAATTCACTAATTGGTTCTAGTATTTCTTTTGTAGATTCCTTAGGATTTTATATATGTACAATCATGTGATTTCTGAAGAAAGACAGTTTTATTTCTTCTTCTTCAATGTGTATTCCTTGTATTTTCTTTTTTCTTTTGTTATTGTACTGACCAGAACCTCCACCACAGTGTTAACCAGAAATGGTGAAGGGTGAGCATTCAGCATTTCACTATTGAGATTGATATTAGCTTAGGTTTTTTCATGGTTGCCCTTTATCGCATTGGGGAAGTTTCTTTCTATTCCTAGTTCGCTGGTAGCTTTTACCATAAATGTGTTTTCTCAAATACTTATTATGTGTCTTTTTAAATAATCATATTATTTTTCTTCTTTAATCTGTTAATATGGTAAAATGAATTGGGATAAATCTGTCATGGTGTACATCATCCTTTTCATGTACTAATTTTTTAAAGAAATTATGTTTTTCCTTTTCTTATGCTTGTTTTTTTATTATTAAGTTCCAAGCTACCAGTTCTTGTTTTTAGACAGAGGGAAAGGGAAGGAGAAAGAGAGAGAGAGAAACATCAGTGTGAGAAAGAAACATCAATTAGTTGCCTCTCATATGTACCCTGATCAGGGACTGAACCCACAACCTAGGCATGTGCCCAAACTGGGAATCGAACCAATAACTTTTTGTTTTGTGGGATGACGACCAACGAAGTGAACCACACTGGCCAGAATTGGATGCTAGTTTTTCTTTAACCAGATATATGTTTTTCTAATTTCTATTCATCTGTGTGGCTTGCCTTTTTAGTATTTTTTAATATAATAACTTTTTAAGTCTATGTATAATAACTCCATCTTGATTTTTTTTGTCCATCAATTTGTATTGCCTGTCATTTTTCTTAGGTTTTGTTTATACATCAGGTAGTCTTTGTATGAGTATTAAACAGGGTACAAAAATTGGTAGACATTATTAAAACTTGTAAATAATTTCAAACTTACAGAAAAGTTGAAAAATAAGAAGAGTACGAAGAATGCCCATATGCTATTTATTTGGATTCACCTGTTAACATAACATTTCAGTGCTTTTACTTTGTAATTTGAATATGCTCTCCTTACTCTCTCCTCTTCCCCTTCTCTGTATATATACTCATATTTATGTTGCCCTCAGCCATTTGTTTAACTTGCATACACCATGGCCTCTTTATCCCTAAATACTCCAAGGAGTATTTCCTAAGGGATATTTTGTGGAGACAATTTGAGTCTCTGGATGGTGGGATTCCTTTAAACCGATATTATTATATATCTCCAGCTTTCCTAGTTTTCTCAGTGGTAAGATTTATTTTAAAAATTTAGTATGCCATTGCCAGAAATAGAACCTCTGGCCTATCTCTTCTTATGAGTCAGTGCCAGAGTTTGATTGCCATAGTGTGTTTTCCCTATTGTGAAAGCCAGTCTTCATTATCCTTTTATAGAATTTCCTTAGCATTTTGCTTATTTATTTTTCTATATGATGTTTCAAAGTCAGTTATTCTTGTTTCCAAGTACTTCCTTTATTTTTTACCATTAAATTCTGAATCAGTTTAGGAAGGATTGTTAGTGTTAGCATGCTAATATCCCTACATAACTGTACGTTCTGTTTTTCCAGTTCTCCGAAACTTCTTTTGGAATCCTCAGCAGCCTCTCACTTGCTCTTCATTTTTTCTTCTGCTCACAGCAAGATGGATTCTGGATATACTCTGAATACTGTAACAACCACCTGGACGCCTGCATGGAGCTCTCCAAGCTGATGAAGGACAGCCGCTATCAGCACTTCTTTGAGGCTTGTCGCCTCTTGCAGCAAATGATCGACATTGCTATTGATGGTTTCCTTTTGACTCCAGTCCAGAAGATCTGCAAGTATCCCTTACAGCTGGCTGAGCTCCTCAAGTATACCGCCCAAGACCATAGGTAAATGATTAAGGGAGGTGGGGCTGAGGGAGAGAGCCTCCTCTACAAGTTGGTCCTTACAGAGCATGTCTGTTCTTTCCTCTTCTCTGAGCTTCTGTTAGCTTGTGTTCACAATGGGAAGATGACATATTCTTGCTCACCTCACAAGGCTATTGTGTATATAAAGTAAGTAAGGGAAGGCTTCCGAGAGTTGCTTATAGTGTAAATCAGTATGCACACACAGTCATTACACATCATCATTGTACAACTTAGATCCTGCATTCAGGGAGCTTATAGCCTGGTCCTTAGTCCTGAGTTGAGCCAAGTGAATCAACCCAGATAGGATAATTGTTGGACTGTTTATTCTACTCTGCTTGATAGATTCAAATATCATGGTAACACCCTGCCCAACTATACTGACCTTCAATTACTTCTGCAAGGCAAAATCCTTGGTTTTCTTCAGTCTTTCCTCATTCTCACTGTACCTTCCCCTTAGACCCAGAGCATACTGGGGGAAAATAGACTTGACACTTCCCCAGAAGTTTTTTCTCCCCAAAGTTTTTCAGCATTTTCAAGAAAATTAACCCAAAATGGACTAAGGAGCTTATGTCTTTCTGAGTTGAAATGACACCCTACCCCCCTACCAGTGAGGTATATGCTGGGAGTCATCGCCAACAATGGGGATGGACTAGAGTGAACCACCCCCCACTCTTTCACATGTTTTACTTCCTAACCCAGAGTCCCCAGCCTATTTCTAGACTGCCTTTAATCAGTCTGAAATCCCTAACCTTGGATTTGTTGGCCCAGCTCTCTGCCTTCCTCCTGATTGAGCACTCCAAGAAGAAAGAAGGCCTCTGTCCAGTTTTGTCTAGCTTCTTGCCTGATTATCATTAGGCCTGCTTTCTACTTTTATTTGGCTCCACTGCCTGGGTTCCTTGGATCTGACTTCTAGACCTAGTTACGTAAGGCCATGGGTGTTGGCCAGTTGGTTTTGTTTATGTCAGAGTTCCAGGTCCATTTCTGGGTTGATTTTTTAAAAAGATTGTATTTATTTATTTTTTGAGAGAGGAGAAGAGAGAGAGAAAGAGAGGGAGAGAAACATCAATGTGAAAAGCATCCATTGGCCACCTCTCACGTGTGCCCCTACTGGGGACTGAACCCGAAATCCAGGCATGAGTCCTGACCAGAAACCCAAGCAGCGTTCCACTTTGTGGGACAATGCCAGACTAACGGAGCCACCCCAGGTCAGCGTCCTGGGTTCCCTTTTAAGTCGATGTTAATTTTTAAGCAAATGGGTCATATGTTTCAGTGGCTCTGGAGCCCTGGACTGATTTCAGATATAAATCTAAATGCGGTGACACTGGACTCTCCTTTTGTGTGAGTAACAGCACCACTGATAATTCTGCCTCCCATGCTCTGTTGGCTGTGAGGAAGGTGGGTAGAGACAGACCTAGCGAAGGAAGATTCTGCTCTCGCCTCCCTGAGTCAGTTTGCTAGCCGCGGTGGGTGGTAGGAACGAACACTCATTAGACATGAAATTTGGAGGTGACTAAATCTCACTTGAAAAGATGTACTACAACCCATCGCCAGAGCTGAGTCATCAGTCTTCTCAGGATACGGTTTCTTGCGAGAGCTAATAGGACATTGGAGAACCCCCACTAAAATTAACATATTTTAAAATATTATAAAAGTGGAAAATATTTAGGGAACCTAAAAAGGAAAGGCCCTTAAAGGAAGGTCTTCTAGTCCGACTTCCTCCTTCTATGGCTGGGAAGATTTAGGCCCTGACAGGGAAAACGATGAAGAGCAAGTCTGTGGTGGAACAGGGAGATGGATTGTGGATAGTGGTCTAGGAACATAGCTTTTAAAAGAACCCTGCACGTGATTTTCACACCTAGGACGGTGTGTGAGCTGTTGTGTTAGTGAGTGTGCAAGGCGTCTTCCAGCTCCGCTAGCCCATGATGTCATGAGCCTGAGTGACCTCCACAGTTGTACTTCATGGGGTTGAATGACCAGAAGCAGCCACTCTTGTACCTAAATCTCAGTGGAGCAGCCCTCTGACCACTAGTTTTAAAACCAGATATTCAAAGAGAGATTCTCAAATGTTTTTTTATCACACACAGTTCATGTCCCTCCTACTTCGAAGTGTCTATTCCATGGAACCTAGCAGGAGGCTCAAAAAATCATACTCGGGGACAGATGGTATCAACTAGGTAAATTACATGTTGCATATTGCTTTTAAGAGCCCAGAAAGACCATTTTCAAAGCACAGCAGAAAGCTACGTTAGTTTCTTAAGTCAAAGCAGCCCAGGGCTTTAGCTGGCTTTAGTGGCAACCAGTAAGATAGGCCATCTGCCTGGGATTTGCCATTTCTGTGCTCCATCACCTTTTGACTGGAACCCCTGCCTCAAGGCCTTCTTGCACTCTGGGTCCCTGGTCCACTCTCCTCCCCCCTGGAATCAAGAGTGCTGAGAGAATGGCTGCCTCTCTTTCCATCTCAACCCCTGTCTTCCTTCAGCATACCCTGCTGGGCCCAGCACTAACCCTGGTCACAGGCAACCCCTTTCAGCAGGCTTCAGGAAGCTGCGTGAGGTGACAGCTTCTGTGATGCATGTCAGAGTAGCCTGCATTGGAAGGCAATTAGAAACTGCTGCCAGCTTAAAGGCTTAGTGAGATGGGTGTGCAGATAGGTGCGTCTGAAATGCAGGCAGACAGAGTGGCCTCTGAGGTGGACAATCAGATGGATGGAGAGTGATAAATGGAGAACAATACCGACTTTCTTACGGAAGGGTGACGTGTCCCACCCTGCCACCCAACCTTTCTTAAGCTGACAAGAATGAAGACTGCGTATCAGAGGGAGATTAGCTGACATGTCTGGAAGAATACAGTCTTGATTCATTCAGTCTCCTCATGAGGGGGCTGGGCCCAGACCACATCTGGAAACCCGGGGGCTCTGAGCGGGACCACAGTCATTTGCTTCTCTCACATACTCCTATAGCTAGTGGGGCAGGTTACAGATGGGGACATCTCCTTTGTCACCACTGTGGGAAAGACAGCCAGCTACAAATGCCAAAGGCTGACTGACTATATGGCACAGTGGCAATGATGAATTTCATGGCTGGGTCGGGAATGAGGTAATAAGCATTCTCATGTCAGTGCTGTCCAACAGAACTTTCCAACAATGATGTCAAGGTGCTACATCTGTGCTAATTAAGTAGCCACCGGCTTTATACGGCCATTGAGTACCGAGAAATGCAGCTGGTGCTACTAGGCAAGAAGAGTTTTAATTTTATTAATTTTAATTAAATAACTATTAAGGACACATGGACAAAACCAAGGGGGAGGGTGAAAGCAAGGGAGGGAGGAGGGTTTGGCTGGGGTAAGGGGGAATGGTGGGGAGTAAATACAGACAACTGTAATTGAATGACAATAAAATAATTAAAAATTTTAAAATTAAATGTGGCTAGTGGCTACCATCTTGGACAGCATAGCTCTATGCCTTACCTCCTACAATGTGGCTTTAGTGCATTTTCCTGATGCCCTCAAATCAGAGAGAGGAATGGCATGGGAGACGGAAACTGGGCTCAAAGAACAGGGTGCTTATTTATGGCAGTAGCTTCCACACTGCACCCACCCCCTTCTGTCACCACTCTATCCTGCTTCTGAACGGCAGGCTCAGGATGCATTCACTGCCAAGGATAAACTTTGTCAGTGTTACAGAGTCCAATAGACCCTGCATACAGTGGAGGATCTATTGTAAAAAGATGAAAGGTCACGTGAACAAATGCAAAGATTCGCACTTGTGTCTAAGAAATCAACAGTTTCACTGCAGACAGAGATGCAGCATCCAGACAGCATCTTTTAAAGAGACCTCGGAAGCATCAGTCAGCCATAAGTTCAGTATACATCAGCACAGGGACCCAGAAGCAAAACTGCTAATAGCTAACAATCATAAAGGCTCAGGAGAAAGGAGCATATTTTTTAACAGAGTTGTCTTGGGACAAAATAAACTGGTTAGGAGGTACAGTAAGCATCATGTTACTGGAGACGACCCAGTGCAATACTGTTTGAGGACTGAGGTCTGGCAGGTGTGCAGAAAACAACCTGGGGTTAGGGGGTAAAACAGTTTAACCTGGGTGTTAAAACCTTTATCAATTCTACTGTGATTCTCCTACGTTATGGGAAACTGGGGAAACTGAGTCACTGAGAAGGTGACTGAGACTAGTTGGTGGCAAAACTGCGGTTAAGCCCAAGGAGTCTGGCTTCAGACTGTTCTAACCGCTATGCCACATCCTGTCTGTATACTGTACAAGAGGGCAGGTGTGGATGGTATTTCGCAGTGACCTGGAGCAGCGTTCCCTACAAACAGGTGCTGGGAGAGATGGTAAATTTGTCTGGACCCAACCTCCATTCTTAGTCCTTGGCTGGTTGTACCAGATAGGATGCCAAAATAATGGTGTAGAAAAAATAGGAGTCTTTTTCTTTTGTGAAAAAGAAGTCTGCAGGGAGGTAGTCCAGCTGCCATGGTGGATCCGTGGTTATCAGAAGCTTGAGGTTTTTCCAAGTTTCTGTTACCCTATTCCTAGGAGGATGGCCCTTGTCGTTATAGTCCAAGATGGCTGCTGGAACTTCAGCCATCGCATCTGCATTCCAAGCATCATGATTTAGTAAGGGCTAAAAGAAGGGTATGCTGTTTACCTCAAAAAATGTTTCTCAAAAGTTCTGCTCAACACTTTTGTTTACATATCACTGGACATAATTTAGTCACATAGTCACCGCTTGCTACAAAAAAGGAAAGGAAATATAGTCTTTTGCTTCATGTGGCACAGCTTCTATCTGAAACCCAGGGCTCTCTTACACTAAGCAGGAATAGGAGAATAGATGTTAGGGTTGGCATCTAGCATGTTGGTTTTCTGGCACATTGACTCATTCAACTTGTATGTTTGTGTCTTCACAGTGACTACAGGTATGTGGCAGCTGCTCTGGCTGTCATGAGAAATGTGACTCAGCAGATCAATGAACGCAAGCGGCGTTTGGAGAATATCGACAAGATCGCCCAGTGGCAGGCCTCTGTCCTGGACTGGGAGGTAGGAGCCTTACCAACAGGGGTATTGGGGAGTCCGAATAGCTTAGCTAGAACTTCACAGAGCCATGGATGGGTGAAGAGGAATGAGATTTGAAGAGCAGCAAGAAGGATGTAGATGAGACCCAAGGCAAAACTTCCTGCCAATGAGAGGCATTGTGTACTTGAATAGCTTTCTAAGAAGGTCAGGGACATCCTTGCAGCAGTGATTCATTAAGAAAAGAAACGTTCGTCTCTTTGGATATTGCCAGGAAACAACTGGGTTGACTCAGTAGCCTTTCAAATGTCTTTCAAGCCCTGGAATTTCATCACCAGCAGATGAACACTTGGCTGAGGAGTGCTGTATGCTAATTCACTCCCAAACGCAGAATGCAAAGCTGCTTCTCTGGCTCAGGCCAGCCCACAGACTTCTTTTCCTCTTGGTGGGATCACCTTACCCTGGTGTGTCTCCCAGGTCTACCTGCACACTTCAGGCCACAACCGGCATTCCTGCCACACTGGCAGACCAAATTCTGTTAGGTTTTTGTTTTTTTTATCTGCTTATAAAAATAATCCCTGACAGCCCGATTCCACTGTACACAGCCCCAACCTCTAAGCAATAATCAATACCTTAGAGCAGCTTAGGAGAACAGCAGGGAGAAGAATATGTTCCCAAGGATTGCAGCTTCTGGGGAATTTCAATTTCGGATTTCTCTGATGCTGGCATTGGGTTGAGCTGACACTTTGCCACCCTTTACACTCATTAGAGCCTCTTGAAAGGAAGAGAGAAGGCACATACCGCTGACAGCTTCTTTTTAATCCATTTTTTTCCTGGAGATTTTTTTTTTTTTACCAGGAGCCCAAGTTTGCAGCTCATGTCTGGGAACTTGCTCGCGTGTGGTTGTGATTTCCTCCTCATGGACCCCTCCCCTCACAGCCCGGTTGTGTAATACCCAAGGGCCTGTTTCAGTTTACCATTAGATGATTTAATCCAGAGAAGTTGGAGAAAACACAAAACCACAACGTGACGGAGGCAGCAAGAGCATCTATTTAAAAGCTAAGGAGGCAGGCTCCTGGGACCGGGAGATCAAATGTGGAGGTGGATGGATTTGTTACTTCTCTGCCCTCTTGTCAGTAGGCAGCATGGAAAATGAATTGTATGAAAAGGATGGCATTTCCTGAGGCCGCAACTTTAACTGAGATGATCGACCTGTAATCAGAGTGGGGTGCTGGGCATTAGGGTATATTTTTAAAATTTATTGTTGTTGGAATACAGTTGTTTCCATTTTCCCCCACCTATCCCCACCCTCAATCCTACCCCCGCCTTTGGCTTTGCCCATGGGTCCTTTCTACCTGTTCCTTAACTTTCCCCTTCCCATTCTTTCCCACATTATGCCCTCTGTCTCCCCTCTGGTCACTGTCAGTTTGTTCTTCATTTCAATGTCTCTGGTTCTGTTTTGCTTGTTTGTTTGTTTTGTTGATTAGGTCCCACTTATAGGTGAAATCATATGGTATTTGTCTTTCACTGTCTGGCTTATTTCACTTAGCATAATGCTTTCCAGTTCCATCCATGCTGTCTCGAAGGGTAGGAGTTGAGATGAGTGACATGTGCCCTTTGCTCTTGCCCATTCAGAGGGGACAGATATGTTCTGTGCTATGTTCTGTGCTATGTTCTGTGCAGAGGGAACAGTGTGAGCAAAAGTTCTGGAGGAGTGGAAGGCAACAGCAGGCCCATAGGCAAGGGGTCAGCAGGCAAGAGTTGTACTTTTGGGGACAAGGTAAAAAGGAAACAAACAAACACGTGTGGTGCAAATAGCGCAGAAGAGGCAGAGGGTGAGAGCTCTGGATTCTGAGAGGGCTTTTTCCTTCATCTGGACTGATTGGATGCTTTCTAGCAGCCACGTAAGGTGGGCCAAGCAGGAAGCACTGTATAATTCCTGTTGTCCCAATGAGGAAACAGGTTGACAGTGGTTAACCTATTGTACTCACCATGGCCACTGAGTAAATTGGTAGCAGCGGTGGGTCTAGAACCCAAGCCTTCTGAGATTCTTACCTCTGAAAATTTTCGAGGCAGCTGGTCGCTCCCTCAAGGGATTGTCATTCTATTGTGCTTTGGTATTTAGAACGTAGGTTTTGAAAGAGTCCAGTCTGGACTCAACCACTTTGGCACAATTACTTCCCATTTCTCTGACCTTGGCTTTGGGAGTAACAACAGTATATTCCTATTGTGTTGCTGTGAGGATGAATAGGAACATGGTTGCCACGCAGAACATAGGGCACACAGTAATAGTCAAGATAACAATTTTTACTTATGTAGAGCTATAGTGTGATGTGTACTTTCCTAAGCACTTTAACGATTTCATTTATTTATTTTTAAAGAGAGGGAGAGAAACATTGATGTGCTAGAGATACATCTGTAGCTTGCTTCTCGCATGCCCCCTATAATGGGGACCTGGCCCACAACCCAGGTATGTGCCCTGACTGGGAATCGAACCAGCAACCTTTTGGTTTGCAGCTGAGTGCTCTCCATTCACTGAGCCACACCAGCCAAGACCCTAAGCACTTTATATATGTTAAATTATAGAATCTTCACATTAGCCAAATAAGGTTCGTACCGCTATTATCCTCATTTTAAAAATGAGGAAACTGAGGCATGGAGGGGCTATGTGAGTTGCCCAACATCACCTGTCAGCCAGCTTGGTGAGCATAGGGCCTGCATTTTTTCCAAGTTTTTGTTTGCTTGTAGAGTCACATGTGACAAGAAATCCTTAGAATAGAATTGGGCTAGACCTGCCAGGTACGGTGGGTGGACCAGATGACCACAAGTAGTCTTAGCCCTAGTCCAGTCTTTCTCCTTTTAGCAAGTGTTGCATCTAAAAGTAATCCTGGCCATCTTTGTATAGATGGCAGTGGCCCCTTTTTATAGCTTTCTTTCACTTTATACATATTCAAAACGGACAGTGGCACATTTTCCTGGTGTGCCTCAGGATGGGGCATGGCAGACTGGTACCAGTCTCACCTTTCCATTCCTCCAGCAGAAAGTCCTATACAGCTCCCTCCCTCTGAGGACTTCCTGTCCTGGCCCTGGGCCTCCTGGGGTTCTGTGCTAGTATGTGGGTCTCTCAAGGAGAAGTGTTTAACTAAGTTCTAAGGTATCCCTGGGGTGGATTCTGGAGTCACAGTAGTATCCCTGAGCTTTCTTTCAGAGGTTGTACTATTAGAAATATTCCCAGTGAGCTCTTCTTTTCCTTTTAGTACCTTAGGACTGGAAAAAAAAGGATATGCTTGAGAGCATCATTTCCAGCTACCCCTCTCTTTGGCTCAATGCCCTGCCTGGGCTGTTTGTCTGTGATTATTTCTGGGGTGACACAGCAGCCCCCATTTCTATTAGCAATAATCATGCCTCAGATAAACCTCATTGGTTACGATACTGCCACTGCACAAAGCCAGCAGCCCTCATTTCTAACCTTGACTTCAAGCTTTTGGGTGTGAGGCTCAGATCTTAGCATCAGAGTATAAGGGCGAGGAACTTAGACATCATCCCCATGCACCTCATTTAACAGCTCAAACAACTGAGTCCAAGAGAGAGGAAGGGACCGACCCTCCAGTAATCTTTGGCCCAGAGACAGCATCATGCAGTGACAAGAGGGAGCACATTCTCTGGAGCCTCACAGTTGGGGTTTGGTTGTGGGTCTGTAGCTAACTGGCTGGGTGGCCTTGGCTGATCACTCGACTTCTCTGTTTGTCAGACTGTAAAATGAGAGCAAGGATATCTGTCTCCCAGAGCAATGGTGAGGGTCGGAAGAAATAGAGTTGAAGTATGTAACACAATGTCTGACCAATATAGGTGCTCAGTGAGTATTAATTCTCCTGAGTCCTGGGCCACTACCTTCTGTCTCCATTTTCACACAGGCCCAGGAACACCCACCTGTGCCCATGGCTTTGGTGTGGTTTGCCTGCTGTTCAGGAGATCTGAGCACATCTGTCCTGGTCTCCTCCATGGAAGGTGTAAGGTCCTTGAGAATAGGTACCAAGTTGAACTTGGCAGCTGACAGACATCCCACATGTCCCTGACCTAACAGAGTTACCATAAAGAAGGAGCCCTTAGAACCTGTACAACTGAATGAATTAGGAATCATGTGTCTTAGTGTTTTGTGTGTGTGTGTGACTCTACATAGCAAGGAGGAGAAGTGGTTTCCAGCCCTATGTATAATAACTAAAGGAGCATGTGGTCATGAACTTGCCTATTTAATCAGTAGATTTTAATGAACTGAGAGGAGAACAAAAAAAGCCCTCTTTTAAGGGGGTGAGTGCATTCTCTTTCCCTCTATCGTCATCTCCTTGCTCTCCCCATCCATTTTTTCATCTAGGAAGCAGACTTCTACCACTTGTTCAGGCTTATCTTCGAGTACAGGAAAGAGTCTAAAAAACTGGAGCTGGGAGGAAATGCTGGGGCAGAGAGTAAGATTTATAGAGAAAAATAGGGAGAATTAGAGAATGAACCTCATGGCAGCTGGTGCCCCTAAGGCCAGAGGACAACTGGCTACCGCATTCCTAGAAGGTCCTGGGGCTCTTTCATCCTCAGGGCAAACAAGTGTGAGTTTTTCCAGCTGATAGAGCCTTTCATGGATTCCCAGGCATCCCTGCCTTCATACCTCCTTTCCCAGCAGTCCTTTCTGTTTTCCTCCTGCCCCAGACTGTGCCCAGCCCTAGGTGCCTCCAGGCAGGTGATGGGTCCATCTCACCTACCTGGCTGCCTCTCACTGTCACATGTCTTCCCCAGGGTGAGGACATCCTAGACAGGAGCTCAGAGCTGATCTACACCGGGGAGATGGCCTGGATCTACCAGCCGTATGGCCGCAACCAGCAGCGGGTCTTCTTCCTGTTTGACCACCAGATGGTCCTCTGCAAGAAGGTAACCCCACCCCTTTCTTCCCTGAGGGATATGGGCACTTCCAGGGGCACCAACCTCGCCTTCATCATCCCAGCTCTCAAGAAAGTGGGCTAAAACTGGTGGGTGAAACACAGACTGGAGATTGGCAGCAATTTCATATCGGGATCACTGGTATGGCAATGAGTATCACGGACAGAGCTGGCTTGTGGGCAGTGAAGCTCTGAAGTTGGTATGTTTTTGTCCCACTGCTTCATGTGGTGATCCTTCTCACTGTCTTCCACACAGAAACATTTCAATATTTCTATCCCAGTTGGTAAATAGTGGCTTCCCTGAGCACTCCCCCCAGTTTTTACTTTAATGGCTCTAGCCACCTGGCCTCTCATGGCCCCAGGAACCAATGAGGGCTCGCCTACCTTTTCCTGGCAGGTATGTACTTTTATGGTACAAGAATTTCCTGGGTCCTTACCCATTTTCTACACAAGTTATATCACTTCCCTGTAAGTCTCAACTGTGTTCTTCTCCACTCTCCACTCTCTGTGGTGCATTTCAAGGGGGGCCGTTCTCTTGTCGCTGACCTCTGGCTGACTCAGTGTAAGCATTGTTTCCTTGGTCTCTTATCCTTGGGAGGCAGGAGGATGGCATATATGTGCTCAGACTGAGACAGCCCAACAGCATCCTGTTGCCCTTGCGTCCTCCCTCTGCATAAGATTCAGACCCCTTTTGGTTCCAGAGAGTGGTTGGAAAGAGTTTGGGACCTGGAAAAGGAAAAGAGGAGGGAAAAAAAACCCAAAGAATGCTTAGAGTGACTTGTAAATGTGTTTTCCTACCCTTGGCTCTCACTTCATCATCCAGTACCTTTGTTCTTGTCCTCATCCAGTGGTAAATGTGTCTAAGGAAGAGTGGTGAGTCTCGAAACACCTAGTTTAATGTTGTTATTTTCTTTCCAGCCTGAGACATGAACCACACATGTGCTTTTAAACACCCTGTTCTCTCTGTGTGGCACATCTTGCATTAAATCTTTGTCCATGTGCCTTTGACAGTGGATTGGGAGAAGAGATTGGGTTTTGAGTCCAAGTGCCTCAGTGTTGGGGATAAGCTTAGAATGCCAGCTCTGAAATCACTAGCTGGTTAGTGCATGGGTACAATAACTCCCTTCATCTGGAGCTGACTCTGGAAGAACTTCCATGATTCTAGAACTTGGCCAAACACACAGGCCTCTTCTTAGCTCCCCCCAACTATTCCTATGACTTCTATCAAATCAGGAGACAAGAGTTTTGAGAGTTAATTCCTAAGATTCATTGCAAAAACTTCCCCATGTATGCAAAATTTCCTCATTTTGTATATTATTATGAAAAAACTTTCCTATTTTGTACATTGGAAATTGGGGTTGCGTGAGCCACTTAAAAATATACAGCTTGATTTAGAGTGTGTATGTATACATACACACATATATGCATTTATATATGTTTATTAAGTGGCCATTATAGTAGATGTGAAGATACTACTGGCTTCTTACTATGGGATCCCTTATTTAAATTTCTCTGTCCTCCCTCTTTTCTTTTCTTAAAAACATTTTATATTTATTTATTTTTAGAGAGGAGAAGGGAGGGAGAAAGAGAGAGAGAAAAATGTCAATGTATGGTTGCCTCTTGCAAGCCACCTATTGGGGACCTGGCCTGCAACCCAGGCATGTGCCCTGACTGGGAATTGAACTGGCGACCTTTTGGTTTGCAGGCCAGCACTTAATCCACTGAACCACACCAGCCAGAGCCCACCCTCTTTTCTTTGGAACAGTCTAGATAAGACTCTGTTGTCTTTCTTCTTGTCCTCTATGATGGCTGGCACTGGTCCTCTTCATCTCATTGCTGAGCTTTTTTAGTTATGCAGATGTATATTTTTTGTTTCCGAGATGATTACACTGGAAATTATTTTGTTGTTTTGGGGGATTTTCTTCCCCACTTTTTTTTCATATGTTCCCTTTCACTTTTTACTGGACATGGGAGGAGAGTTCTTTCTCCTCTCCTCAGTCATGCCATCCACTAGTGTGCCTGTCGAGAGCCCTGCAGTTGCGCCAGTCAACCTTTTTCTAGTATCTCCTGGCCGCCATGGTGCCAATCTGGACATGCTCTATTGTCTCCTGTGCAATGGACTACTCAGCGTTTATGTTGCTTTCACTGTATTCTGGGAGCATCAGAACTAATCAGAGTGTAATGATATGCTAGAGAAAGGACTTCTGTTCAAGGAACTTTCTGCATTTGGCCCATTTCTTCTTGCACTAATTGGCTGGACTCGGAGGTTAAGCCATTTGGAACAACTAGAAATGCAAAAATAGCAACAGAGATGGGGATAGAGCAGGAAGAAGATGAGGCTTTGAAACAGGAACACCTGGGTCCTAGATTCTACTGTCTCTTACAGTAGAATTTGTCTAAGCTTGGTCAGTTCTTCAACTTTATTTATTTTTAAAAAGATTTTTTATTTATTTTAGACAAGAAGGGAGGGAGAGAAACATCAATGTGTGGTTGTCTCTTGCAAGCCCCGTACTGGGGACCTGACCTGCAACCCAAGCAGTTGTCCTGACTGGGAATTGAACCGGTGACCCTTTGGTCTGTAGGCCAATGCTCAGTCCACTCAGCCACACCAGCCAGGACCAGTTTTTTAACTTTAAACATTTATTTTTCCTCAGTGTAAAATCAGATTAATGATAGAATTTTTCTCAGGAGCCTTTTATAGAAGAACCACCTGAGTTAGTGGGAAGCAGGTAGGTGTACAGTCTTAAGAGCCTGGCTTCTAGGACTAAACAGGAAGGCACCAGTTTCTTTTTTCCTGTGAGCTGCTTGACCTGGGACAAATTCTCTGTGCCTACTATTCATTCCTTCATTTGCAAAACGAGAATCATCGTCATGTCCATGTGCAAGGGAAGTCAAGAATGTTAACTGAGACAATATAGTTGCAGTGCCTGGAACATAGTAAGTACTTAGTAAATGTCAGCCATTGATATGATTCCTGCATGTTTAGTGTTTCTAATCATTTATTCAGCAAATTTTCATTGGGAGGCAGTATATGGGTTTGACAAGGATAGATTCTAGAGTCACATAGCCTGGATCCAACGCCCAGCTCTGCCATTTAGTATTTTTTTAAAGATTTTATTTATTTTTACAGAGAGGGGAAGGGTGGGAAGAAAGTTTAGTATTTTTTATCCCTGGACAAGTTTCTTAACTGCTCTATGTCTACGGTGCCTCATAAAAGGGGTTGTAACAGTACATTCCTCGTAGAACTGTTGTGAGGATCCTTTAAGTTATGAAATGCAAAGCATTTAGCTATCAAGGAATGCATAAAGAAAATGTGATACACGCATAATGGAATATTGTTGAGCCTTAAAATAGAAGGAACTCTTGCCATTTGCAACAATATGGATGAGCCCCAATAAAATAAGACAGACAGAGACAAATACCATATGATCTCAGTCATATGTGGAATTTAAAACAGTTGAACTCATAAAGAAAGAAAGTGGAGTGGTTGTTAATGGGCTGGTGGGGGTGGAGGAAATAGGGCGATGTTGGTCAAAGGGTGAAAACTTTCTGTTAGGCAGGATGAGTAAGTTCTGGAGAGCGAGTGTACCAGCATGGTGATTGTATCTAGTGATACTTTGTTGTATTCTTTTTTTTTAAAAGATTTTCTTTATTTATCTTTAGAGGGGAAGGGAAGGAGAGAGGGAGAGAAACATCAATGTATGGTTGCCTTTCGTGCGTCCCCTGCTGGGAACTGGCCTGCAGGGAACCTGCCTGCAACCCTGGCATGTGCCCTGACTGGGAATCGAACCGCGATTGTCTGCTTCGCAGGCCCGCGCTCAATCCACTGAGCTACACCAGCCAGGGCTACTTTGTTGTATTCTTAAAATTTGCTAAGAGAGGAGATCTTAAGTTTCCTCATCACAAAAAAGGTGATGGATATTTAAATTAGTTTGACTGCGGTGATTATTTCACATTGTATATGTATATCAAAACATCACATTGTATACCTTAAATATATACCTCAATAAAGCTGGAGAATAGTGCAAAGCATTTAGAATAGTGTTGGGCACACAATTTGTGCTGTTAAGTGTTCACTGTTACATTGTTGTTATTATTATTCTGTTATTAATAAGTATGCACTCTAGCCCTGGCTGGTATGGCTCAGTGGATTGAGCACAGGTCACAGGGTCACCGATTCCATTCTCAGTCAGGGCACACACCTGGGTTGCAGGCCAGGTCCCCTGCAGGGGTGTGGGAGAAGCAACCACACATTGATACTTCTCTCCCTCTCTTTTTCCTTCCCTTCCCCTCTCTCTAAAATAAATACAATCTTTAAAAAAATAAGTATGCACACTAGATACTGGAATAAAACAATGAGAAGGAAAAATCCAGTCTCAGCCCCATGTGCCTTCCCTGGGATTGGGAGAGAAAACCAGGCTGACCCAGGCCAGGGGTAGTTACATGGACTCCCTGCAAAAGGGTTAGGAGGACTTCATTGACAAGCAAGGCAGACTGCAATCCAGAACAGTTGCATACCCCAGATTGCAGCATCTGCCATTTGTACAAAATGTCCCACGGTATCTTACTAAATGCCATGAAAACCCAGTGAGTCCAAATTCAAACAGCTCGCAGCCGTTTCAATTATGTAATGTCAGGGATGGGGGCAGGTGTGTCACTGGAGCCATGGCTAGGGCCAGGATGCCTGTGTGCAGACTGCCAGGGCACTCCTGGAGAAGTGCTAGCTTTCTTCGTATCTTCCATCTCAGGTTAGTGAGAGGGAATGTCAGGGGGGCTGGCGTATTATTACAAACAACCCCACTTAGGCCGGGAACTTGGTGGCAACCCGGATAGCATCTGTGGTGAGCACCTATTCACCACATTGCAGTGGAAGCACTCATTCCACCATTAACAGGTGGCATGGGAGTGGCCCGGTCCCAACAGGACTGCAGGTGAGCAGGGTGCAGAGAGGTTTGTCTCCTTGCTGTGAGCAGAAGCTGAGCAGAGAAACCTTGGAGGCTTTGTCAGCTGTGCTTCCCTGGATGACCTCTGAGTGAGGCAAGAGTGAGGAAGGCACTGTGCTTGGCACAGCTTACATGGACAGGCAGAGCTAAAAGCTGTGAGACAGAATACATGCAGCTCACCAGTGTGGTAGCAGAGTGTCAACTGCATGAGGGTGCACAGTCTGCTAGCATTCAAAAAAGGGAGACCAGAGTAAGGAGCTAGGGGATGTAGTCAGGGAAGGCTTCTTTAGGGAGAAGGAATGTGTGAGTTTGACCTTGAAGCCTAGAAGTATTGAATAGGAGGCATTGTTGGGGCAGGGAGGACACGTTAGTGTGAGCCCAAGTATGGATCTGATTTGGGTGAGCGGGTGGCAAACCACTGGCCACCGCCACCACCACCCACACTCCCTCCCTAAGAGGGTGTGTGAGATTTCTAGGGATAGTGCAGTAGCTACGTAAACTTTGAAATGTTCAGAGTCAACTTTGCTTTGATTTATTTTCAGTCAATATTTAACTTACTTTGAAAGTTCACATGAACTAAAGAAGGCATTGGGATTTGGGGGTTTATTGAAGGGGTTTTAGAACGGCACCACACATTGGTCTGGGAGCAGGACAGCTCAGCACCCTGTTTATGAGGTGCTGGCCTCATGCCCTGCTAGCTGCATGTTTAGATTTGAGCTTTACAACCATTTTGCAGGGTAAGGATGATCATCCTAGTTTCATAAACAAGAACACTGAGGCTCAGAGAGGTTAAGTGGCTTGCTTGTCTAAGGCCCTACAGCTAGTAGGTTGAGCAGCTAGGTCTCAAAACTCAGGGCTTTGGACCCTAACTCACTCCTTCCACTGTTTCCTACTGCTTTGTGGCCTTACCTACCCTTTCTGATTGGATTTTCTGAACAGTGGATCATTCTTAATCATTTCTATCACATCATTATACTTGGCTTTATGACTAAGCCTGTGCCTGCAAACTCATATTCAATCCTCTGGGGAGTCAGAAAGAGCCGGCAAAGGGAGAATTTTAATGACGCATCTCTCTAGCCCTCTTCCCCTGCTGCAGAGGCAGAACTGTCTCTAGTTGCTTGTTATCCTTAAATAAAAAAAAACAAAAAACAAAAAAACAACCCTCAACCACAATAGGAGGTTCAGTTGATGCATTTAATTTAGCTTGAAGATCGTGTTCATCCTTTCCATTTTTGGAAACCAGTAAAGGTTTTGAAGGCTGACGATGATTATGACGCACCAACTCAGAGGAAAAGGCAGCTGTAGGCTGAAGTTAGGAAGGGCGGATGGTGGAGGCTGGCTGTGTTCAAGCGTGGTGGGCGCTCACCTGTGTGGTGCAGACCTGGATTCCTAGGTCTATGTGTGTTTGTATTACATTTTTTAAGGCAGGTTTCCAGCCTGCACAAGATCAAACTAGGTTCCACAGATTCATTCTCACCTTGTCCTGTTTTTGTAGTGAGGTTTGCCTGACAGGGTCCACTTTTAATCCAGATTTCTCCCAAAGTGTTCCTGAGGATGTGGAAGCCAGAACATGGCAGCCACCCTGTTCTTTTAGCCAGACTGAGCCTGTCCACTCTGAGCCTGGTAGAAGGAATCGAGGCTGTGAAATAGGCTTGAAGCCACGTTGGCCCACGCTGTGCAGCTGACCTCTTCCTCTTCTGTGAACTTGATGTCAGGGGCACCCGACAGATCAGAACCCATCTGTACTCACAGCCTATTTCTGTGAATGATCATTATTGGAGCAAACAGAACAATGCGATGGTTATTTTTTGCAAAGCAATTCAACCACATCTGTATTTTCCAGCCCGATGCTTCTAGATTGACAGAGCTATGTTGGGAGTCCTTAAGGACAGCCTTCCCCAGCCGTCCTGGAAAGCCCAGTTCACCATGCAGTGTGAAGACTTAGGATTGGGAAAGGGGCTGTCTGAATTTCTAAGGATAAGCACACAGGGGGGAGAATTGGCCAGAAAGGGCCCTTGCCCCTAACAGAGGACATCTGTCAGGACAGGGTTCCCTGGGGTCCTATTTGGCCAGACTCAGCCACATCACGTGTCCCAGCATTAGATGTGCCCTCAGGGGAAGCTTAGGACAGTGCTGAAAGGAAGAGGGACTGAAAGGCCCCTCGGAGAGACCCTCATCAGACCTTGCATTATAGGCCAACAGGTCGTTTCATCTGTCCCTTTATGTTTCTTTTTTTAACTTAAGAAATATTTGACATTCAAACACCTACACAAATAATATAGTGTGCACCCATGGACTTACTATCCAGTATAAGAAATTTTTTTATGGCCTTCCTCCTCTCCTTCTCCGCTTCTTCCTTCCCTTCCTCACCTCTCCCTGTTCTCCTCTTTCTACTGTCTTGGATTTCCCATCCATTATTGTTGTATTTTATATAGTTTTTGTACATAGGTATGTATCCTGAAACCTTCTGTGTTGACTTTTTGTTTTGAAACCTTATATAAATGGAATGGGTATAGATGAGATAAACTATATAGAAATAAAATCAAGGGAACGATGAGCATAGGATTTGAGATGGAGGTTGCCTTGGCATCATAGCTTTTGGATTGGTGACGGGTTCCCTAAAACTTAATACAGTATTACAAGTAATTAAGCAAATACATATATAGAAATAAGAATATCATTCATGGACAAATGATGAGTTTCTCTTGGACTGAGAGTTAGGATGAATCCACTTCTGCGCACTCAGGACCAAGACAACAATGATAACAACTAACCAGCTCATATTGCACCTCTGAAAGGCTTGCAAATATTTGGAATAGGAAAAGCCTTTGCTAGTACTGCCTGTGTGCTTTAATGCTTCCTGCTTCCCATCAGCAGACTTGCAACTGTGTGTGAGGACTGATGCTGGGGTCTGAGGACGTAGGACAGAGACTTTGCCTAAGAACATCTGGTTAGCCAACCTGTCAGTGTCATACTGCTAAGTTAACCTGCCCAGGTTTTGACAAAACCAGCCCCCATTGGTTGTCCAAAACAGTGGTACCATTAGCATCCAGCCTGATGTGTCTAAGTGCTACCTCTCCTGGGACCCTCTCTCCGTGTACCTTTCACAAAAGCCTTCTCTTCCTTCTCCCCTAGGACCTGATTCGGAGAGACATCCTATACTACAAAGGCCGCATTGACATGGATAAATATGAGGTAGTTGACATCGACGATGGCCGAGACGATGACTTTAATGTCAGCATGAAGAACGCTTTTAAGCTTCACAACAAGGAGACTGAAGAGGTACACCTGTTCTTTGCCAAGAAGCTGGAGGAGAAGATACGCTGGCTCAGGGCTTTCAGAGAAGAGAGGAAGATGGTACAGGAAGATGAAAAAATTGGTAAGTGACCTGAGAAGAGAAAGAAGAATATAAAGCTCATAGAGGATTTGAAATAATTTTTATTTTTCTAGAGGCAGAAGGATGAGTTCTATTGCAAACCAACTTAATCCACTCTGTTGGTTCCCTATTGTTAGGTACTTATTGATAGATACCAGTAGTTTCCATCAGTCAGGGTTAGGTGACTTGCAGGTCGGCTTACTCTGCAGTCTCATTGCTAGATAAAACTGTTACACTGAAAGCAAACCTCAGACTCAGTTCTCTCAAACATACAAACACTAATTAGCAAACCAACGCAAAAGCACTCACACAGCCTATTCTGTAATCTCAGTACAGTCTCAGTTCTATTCTAAAATAGATGGCAGCATCTTTGAAAAGGTGAGTCAGTGCAGGTTTGGTAATATTATAGTGATCTTATTATATTCAGCTAACTCTCCAGTCAGTCTAGTGACAGAAGCCTCTGATGAGGACCAACACATAGCACCTGTTTTTAATCATAAACTGTATGCTTCTTTCTCAAGGGTATGGGCTGTAGGACTTACTGGATTCTTTTACCCAGTTTTGGTGAGGGCTAAGATGCCTGTAAGACATTTGTGGTCACTGAACATATCGAATAACATTCCCTTTACCAATTTGTACTTAAAAAAAACATTTTATTTATTTATCTTTAGAGGGGAAGGGAAGGAGAGAGGGAGGGAAGTATCAATGTATGGTTGCCTCTCATGCATCCCCTGCTGGGAACTGGCCTGCAACCCAGGCATGTGCCCCGACTGGGAATCAAACCACGTTGTTTGGTTCGCAGGCCCGCACTCAATCCACTGAGCTACACCAGCCAGGGCCAATTTGTACATTTTAAAAAAGACTTTATTTGTTTTGTTTTTGTTGCTGTTGTTGTTGTTATTGTTGTTTTTTAAGTGAGATGGGAAGGGGGCAGGGAGAGAGAGAGAGAGAAACATCTATGTGCGAGGGAAACATCAATCAGCTGCCTCTTGTGCGTCCCCAACCAGGGACCTGGCCCACAACCCAGGCCTGCGCCCTGACTGGGAATCAAACTAGTGACCCTTCTGTCCTCAGGCTGGTGCTCAATCCACTGAGTCACAGCAGTCAGAGCCCAATCTGTACTTCTTAATCCCTTCACCTTTTTCACCAAGGCCCCCAGACTCCCTTCCCTTTGGCAACCATCAGTTTGTTCTCTGTATCTATGAGTCTATTTCTATTTTGTTTTGTTTTTTTCTCTTTAGATTTCATATGTAATTGGAATTGTGTGGTATATTTCTTTCTTTATCTGATTTGTTTCACTTAGCATAATACCCTCTAGATCCAAAGATACTTTTATAGAAATAGAAAAAACAATGGTAAAACTCATGTAGAACCAAAAAAGACTCATAATAGCTAAAGATATCTAAGAGAGAAGAACAGGTATCACGCTTCCTGTTTCAAAATATATTCCAAAGCTACAGTAGTTAAAAAGGTATGGTATACCATAAAGACAGACATCTAAACCAAGGAAATAGGAGAGAAAGCCCAGAAATAAACTCACACATATAGGTCAACATGTCTTCAACAAGGGTACCAAGAATATGAAATTAGTAAAGGATGGTTTCTTTAAAAAATGGTGCTGGGAATAGTGAATATCAACATGAAAAATCATGGTAAAATCTTTTTGACTTAGATCTTGGTAATGATTTCTTGAATGTGATACCAAAAACCTAGGCAACAAAGCAAAAGTAGACAAGTAGGATTAGATAAAACTTAAATACCTCTGCACAGGAAAGGAAATATCAATAGAATGAAAGGGCAACCTATTGAATGGGAGAAAATATTTCAAATCATATATCTGATAAGAGGTTAATTTCCAAATCATATAAGGAGCTCCTACAACTCAGTAGCAAAAAATCAAATAGCTCAGTAAAAAATGGGCAAAGCAGTTACACCAACCTTTCTGTTATTTCATTAATTACTTTTTGCCATGTGATTTTTTCTTCTGAAACTTTTCTTATACCTATGTACATTTTCTTTTGTAATCTGTTATCCTTTGACTTTTTCAAACTTTTACTTATATTTTTGCTTTGGGATGTGAAATATTTGTTTCCACGTCACACCATATTTTATTCAACCATTCTCCATTTAATAGTCTCTTAACTCACAATCTTTTTCCCCCCTTTGTACTGTGAAATGCATCTCAGTAGCTAAGTTTTTGTTCAAGTTTCTGACGACTTTCCTTTTTTAGTTTTCAAGGCTTTTTTAAAAAAAGATTTTTATTTATTTATCTTTAGAGGTGAAGGGAGGGAGAGAAACATCAATGTATGATTGCCTCTCATGTGTTCCCCACTGGGAACTGGCTTGCAACCCAGGCATGTGCTCTGACTGGGAATGGAACCGTGATTCTTTGGTTTACAAGCCCACACTCAATCTACTGAGCTATGCCAGCCAGGCTCAAGGCTTTTGATATATCTTGCCAGAAATACTCTTCCAGAAATGTACTAATTTAGACATTTAAGAAAGGTATATGTTTCTCTTAACCTAATCATGTGTTTTTATGTTTACAGGCTTTGAAATTTCTGAAAACCAGAAGAGACAGGCTGCAATGACTGTGAGAAAAGTCTCTAAGCAAAAAGGTAAAGCTGCTTTTTACCAACTTTCCCTTTCTGCTCCCCCAGCGCCACTCACTCTCTTTGGGAGGCTGGGAAGCCATAGACTATGTGCCTGCATGTTCCTAGGCTTATTTCCATGCTGAAGTTCTCTTGGGGTGGTGGGGAGTGCCTGGGTCCTCAGGTGTCCATGATTATATGCTGCAAATGGTCTTAAAGGTTTAATGCTGAGGAATGACTAAGGCAGGGGTATCAAACTCATTTTCACCAGGGGCCACATCAGCCTCTCGGTTGCCTACAAAGGGCCGAATGTTATTTCAACTCCTTAACAGTTAAGGAGTAGTTACATTTATAGGGTCCTAAAATTATTTCAGCCCTTTGAAGGCAATCATGAGGCTGATGTGGCCCCGGATGAAAATGAGTTTGACACCCCCGGTCTAGGTAGGGTAAGGTAGTTATGTCCAAAGGTAGCTCATTGGGTACAGGAAAAAAAAAAAAAAAGAAGCTGTTTTCCTTTTTGCCTAAATAAATGAGAGAGAAAAACTAAACTTTACTAAAACTTTACAGACTGGTGGACAATAGAAAAATATGTAGAATTTATTAATAAATATAAATATATTAGGGAAATGTACACCACTTTCATTGGTTTGAGGACATTTGACATATCAAGAATTCCAAATCAGAATGGAGAACTTCAAACTGAATCAAGAAGATTGAAATATTGATTGTTTCTTTCTCTGTGAACCATAAAGTACTTACAAGGGAAACATAACTTGAAAATCAATGAGTATAAAAATGAAACCCCATTTTCTCATTTTCATGAACTAGACAAAATTAAAATGCTTAAGTGGACAAAAGGAAGGAACTACCCTCTAGTTGCTTGAGGGCCTATTCAGTCCCAGTCATTTTACATAAGTTGTTTCATTTTATTTTTATAGCACCCCTAGAAAGGTAGGCATTATTAGCCCCATTCTGTAGATGAGAAAACTGAGGATGTTCTGGGTGAAGTGACCCTGAACATAAGTCAGCTTGACTGTAAGTCCCCACCTCTCTCCTCTCCACCCCAGGGTTCTGCTCATTCTCCATTTAGAGAAAGAACAGTTCACTTTTTTTTTGTCTCACCTCAGTTATTAACAAATGATATTGTCACTGATAGCCACTGTCATGGTCCCCGGGGGTGGGCAGTCTCAGGCAGACCTCACTTTTCCCAGGCCCTTCCTTCTGCTCTCTCAGTGGGCACTGAGAAATTCAGAATGAGTCACCACCACACAGATTGATCCGATACAAGTCGCTTGAAATTCCAGCAGTCACATAAAGCACCCTTAATTATTCCTGATGACACTCTTTTTCATTGAGGAGGCTACATGCCTGTGCATATCTGATTTCCAATTAAGCAGTGTCCCTCGCTGGAGCCCCTCTAACTAGACATGACCATCCTTTTAAGTGCTTATTGCTTCCTGCCCTTGGGAGGCCCTTGCTAGCTCTTTTTCTCATCATGCAAATGTGATTCTCTTTAGATGCAAAATTAAAGGCAACCACTCTTAACCCCTTGGGGGTGAAAACGTGAGGGATAGTGTTAGAAAGCAATCTGGAGCTACTGTCAGTAAAGATGTGATCTGTATGAATAGGAGAGTTCTGCAAGAGAATAAGTCCCTTCTTTGGACAGACATATGAGCAGAAAAGAGCCCCAGGCAGGTGGAGAAACCTCAATCTACAAAGGAGCTCCTTTCCTAGTGTCCTGCCTCTGTCTTCAGGAGGCTCTCACTTCCTGAGCGTCTTTCACTCCGATTTCCTTCACTGTCCTCACCACACTGACCTTCCTGATGGAATGGTGCCCTTTTACCTCAGCCTGGGTTCCCTTAAGCTCATCTGACACTGTCTGGTCTTTTCACTGAGAATCCTTACAGCTTGGGAAAATTCCACAAAGCAAGCAACTAGAAAGCAGTCCTGTTTAACCATACCAAGACTTTGTCTCAGTTTCCTTCCCCACCCTGCCTAGTCTCAAACCTAGCTCTTTCAGGTTCCCTCTTCTATCCCAATGTCTGAACCCTGGTTCACCTGAACAACTTTGCACATTTAATAGCAGTCTTAAGACTTCAAAGACACTCATCTATTTTCAAACCTGTAAGAATTCCTATGAATTTCTTCCCTTATTTCTAGTCTTTAAGACTCCTAGTCCAGGGCTGTGGTGACTGATATATTTTGAGACTCGAAGTTACTACATGTGAGGAAGTAGTTGTCAAACTCAGAAATTTAATAGTTATGTCATATACATGGGAAGTGCAGGAAAGGTGTTCTTTCAGGTACCAATGAAAGTTAGCTTCCTTAACTATTCCAGCAACCCTTTCCTGAAAGGGATGAGGAAGCACTGTTGTTTCTCTAACACAATGTAATTGGATAGGTAATTATTCTAGTGACCCTTTTCAATGCTATCCATAATACCATGGGGCCTTATCAGCTCAGTCTGCTGCTCTGGACGACAGAGCCTAGCTCCAGGGAAGGCCTTTTCATTTTACATTTGTCTTTCATACTACCTTGGTTTTACGAATTGCTACATAACTTGAGAGTTTTGTGCTAACTCCTGATCCATCAAACTATTTCAGTCTGTCTTCATGAAACTGCCTAGATCCAGGAGCACAGCCCCCCATCTCCAGAGGTTTTAGGGTCAGTCCAAAATCAGAGTAGGTCACTAGAATTACTAAAAATAATCTGGAAAACACAGAATACAGTTGGGGTAATCAGTCTACCCTGATTTCAACACTAATCATATAGCTACAGTAACCAAGAGAGTGTGGTGTTGGCAGAGGGATAGATATATTTGCTCAGCACAACAGAATAAAGAACCCAGAAATAGAAGTACACAAATTCACACAACTGAATTTTGACAGGAGTGCTAAAGCAATTCACTGGGGGAAGGATAGTCTTTTCAAGAAATGGTGCTGAAACAACTGGACTTCCATAGGGAAAAATTTTTTTAAAAGAACCTAAAACTAAACTTACATGCTCTAAAAATGAACTCAAATGGATAATGGACTCAAATTTAAAATGACAAAATTTTAAAATAAAATGAGAAGATTTTTAGGATCTAGGGTAGACAGAGAAGTTTTTAGACTTAACAACAAAATCTTGAACCATGAAATGAAAACTGATAAATTAGACCTCATCAAAATAGAAGAGTTTGCTCTGTGACAGACCATGTGAAATGGATGAAAACACAAGCTACAGCACAGGAGGCAAACACGGGGCCCATGGGCTGAATCCAGCCCTCTACCTTGTCTTAGCTGCCCAGCACCTCATTTCTACCTGGCAGCAGTGCCGAGCTCTCACTTAACTATTCAGGAGTAGTTACATTCACACAGTCCTAAAGTTACATTCGGCCCTTTGAAGGCAACCACAAGGCTGATGTGGCCCCCAGTGAAAATGAGCTTGACACCCCTGAGCTACAGGCTAGAAAGATATATTTGCAAACCATATATCTGATAAAGTACTGGTATTTAGTTATATAAAGAACTCTCAAAACTCAACAATAAAAGAAACTGCCTATTGGATTAGAAAATAAGCAAAAGGTAAACAGATATTTCACTGAACAGAGTATATGGGTGGCAGGTAAACACATGAAAAGATGTTCAATATCATAAATGACTGGAGAAATACAAGTTAAAACCACAATGATCTATTACTACATAACTATTATAAAAGCTAAAATAAAAAAATAATAACAACACTGAATGCTGGCAAGGATACAGAAAAATTGAGTTGTTTATACCTTGCTGGTGAGAAGGTAAAATGGCACAGCCAGTTAGGAAAATAGTTGGGCACTCTCTTAAGAGATGAAATATATAACTACCATATGACCCAGCGATTACACTCCTGGACACTTATCCTAGAGGAGTGGAAACTTATTCCCACATAAAAACTTCTAAACAGCTCTGGCTGGTGTGGTTCAGTGGATTGATCAGCCTGCGAACCAAAGGGTCACCAGTTTGATTCCCAGTCAGGGCACATGCCTGGGTTGCAGGCCAGGTCCCCAGTGGAGGGTGTGTGAGAGGCAACCGCATATTGATGTTCTCTACCTTCCCTCCTGTCTAAAAATAAATGAATTAAAAATCTTAAAAACAAACAAAAAAAACTTCTAAAGAAATGTTCATAGAAGCTTTGTTCATAATACCCAAACTGGAAACAACCCAGATGTCCCTCATTGGGTGAGAATTAAGCAAACTGTGGTACATTCATACCATGGAATATACCATGGAATATTACTCATCAGTTAAAAGGAGCCAGATATTGGTACATGCAACAAACTGGGTGAATCTCAAAGGAATAATGCCAAGTGAGAAAAGAAAATCGCTAAGCGTTGCATGTCGTATGACTCCATTTATATAATGTTTTAATATAATTTATAAGTGGGGAATAGAATAATGGTTGTCAGGGGGCAACAAGGGGATGGGGACAGAAGAGAAGTGAGCGTGGCTACAAATCCAAAAAGAATGAAAAAGAGTGAAATAAACCTATGCAAATTATGGGATAAAATTAAGAGAAACAGTCTTAATTATATAAATTATTAAATTATATATAATTTTAAACTATATATAAATTATAAAAATATGTATGATATAATAAATTTATATAAATTATAAATTAATAAAATATTAGCATTCTAGAAGTACAAGAGAGGAGGGGAAGGGGACAGAAAATTTACTTAAAGAAATAATGGCTGAGATCTTCCCAATTCCAGGTAGGTTTATGAGGCTTATTGGTTTCCAAACAATTTCAACCCAAAGTGATCTCCTCCAAGACACATTATAATAAAACTGTCTAAAATCAAAGACAGAGGAAGAAGGTTAAAATTTGCAAGAGGAAAAAATCTCTTGCATCCAAAGGAGTTCACATAAGGCTGTTATCAGATTTTTCAGCAGAAACCTAGCAGTCCAGGAGAGAGTGCAATGATATATTCAAAGTGCTGAAAGAAAAACTGCCACTGAAGATACTGTGCCCAGGAAAGTTGTCCTTCTGAAATAAAAGAAACT